CCACTGCGCAGCACAAGTCTTACAGTAAAATGTTCTTGTTATTGCAGTGCTTGCTTATTCCTGTTGTGAAAGTATTGAACCTCTCTAACATAGCCTATAATTTTGAAAAAATACATATATTTGGCAAGCAACAACACTCATTAATTCTCAGCTGTCAGGACTAAATCTGTCCTTTCATGGACAACATTAACAAATAGTTTACACATTTTATATGTGTTCATTACAAATATTTTATAAAGGAATGTCATTTCCACTATGAATAGAAGTATTTCAAAATATATACACAGTGTTCCCGGTGGCTTTTGAAACTGCCAGTCCTTGTGGACTGGAGACTCTAAAAATCACCTGTTCCCCCTAATTGTTGTCAGTCCCAACGGGCCCAGTCAACAAATAAAAAAACGTATGAAAATTATTTGGGTTTTAATTCTTTCAACATCATGTTCAGTGCAAAGATGTCATCTCTGAAGTAACTTAGTTAGATCTATATGTCATTCACACAAACTTCTCTCTTTTTTTTCAAACATTTTGAGACAAAGTCGCTACAAATGGATGTTTAACCTAGAAATAGACAAGGGGAAACCCTGATGGTAACAGACAAGCTGACTTTGTTAGTAAAATGTACTTATATGAATATCACTGATGTTTTGTTCAACGACAAAGATTTATAAGGTACTTTATTTGCCGGTCCAATTTTACCAGTAAAAACCTGGTAATTACCGTTAAACGGGAACGCTGCATACAAAAAACATAGAAAGACCAGTTTAATAAAAACACTGTGGGGATTCCCAAGTAGCCTTTGCTTGCTGTTATATGGGTGGGTCGGGCAGGTGAATTTGCGCTGATGTGGCACTTGATTCTGTGTGTTTTCACTCATGTGTAACCTTAGGTTCCGGGTACTTTTCCCTTCTACCTTTGGTCACTTGTACTTATCAACCACTCCTTGGTTCTAGGGATGATGTAGCTCTCTCAAAATCACAAGTCAGGTGGTTTGCTCCAGTCCTTTTTATTTATGATAGAATTAATCATAAATATACACACATGGTCCTCAGATAAGTTCTTGTTGTTGCCTGAATTACTTAAGTACAACACATACCTACACTACATTTCAAAAGTCACTTCCCCTGTATCGCGAAACTATTTCTCTATACGTTCGCAATAGTGCCGTGAAAGTATCGCGAAAGTGACTCGAAAGTGGCGAGATAATACCGCGAAAGTGGCTAGAAAATGCCGCGAAAGTTGCGCGCTAATGCCGCGAAGTTTCGCGTAAGTGGCGCAAAAGTGCCGTGAAAGTGGCGCGATAGTGGCGCGATAGTGCCGTGAAAGTGGCGCGATAGTGCCGCAAAAGTCGGTAATAGTGCCGAGAAAGTGGCGGCATATTGGTACACTGCATGTACACTTCAGAAATGCTGTCGTGCGTTACTTCCCCATGTATGTCGGATGTATGTTCAATCTAACCTGGAGCTATATAAGCATGTTGCTCGTGTTATATTTAACAGGTGTAGGTGGTAGGTCCATTAACAGTATAAAGCTTTACATGGATAAAACATTATGTTCTTAAAACTGTATTTTTTCCGCAAGGATGCATGACCTATTCTATATTAATCAATAAGATTATTTAGCATTCAGGATTAAATATATGAAACTACATTTCGCTTTGATGTGCTTATGAAAACGGAATAACTTTCCTCAAAACGAAGTAGAAACCAGGTGATACACGGATGATACATACATGTAAGGAAGAGAATTTATGGATGGTAACTTTATTATGAGGAACACAATGTTTCGAAGTAATATTTACTCTTTCATCAGATGAAGGAGTAAGTATACACTCCAAAACATTGTGTTCCCCAAATTAAAGATGCCTTCCTTATGTGTTGAACTTGCAAATGATTTTCAAAGACATGATCCATAGACGGTTTTAAAATGATAGGTCAAATACTGTGTTGTTTATCTGTTCCAGATAGTGGTAAGTTGTAAGATGAGTTTCTGCTCGTTAATCAGACAAACTACTGCTACACTTGGTTTGTGCAAAAGTTTATGCACGTATACACATGTCGAGTGTCTCAGATAGTGTCTAAATGTAGTTTTAGTAGTTGTAGTTCTAAGTGTGTTTTTGTAGGTTTAGAATTTTAAGGTTTATTGGCAGCCTGTTTGTTGTACTTTGTTAGATGCGGCCGAGTAGGCCTGTTTTGATTAGATATATGCCTAGTGCTTTAAAGGTTTGTAAGTCATTTAGGGGGTTTAGTACCGTTGCTAGTGTCATTTGATTGTTGCAGTTTAGAGTGGATTGGAGTGTTGTTCTATGTTGCTGGTACTGCGTGCAATATAGTATTATGTGTTCAGGAGGTTTTTTTTAAGTTGCAGTTGGGGCATTTCCCGGATTGGTGTTTTTTTAGTTTGGTGTAGGTGGGAGTTTAACTTAGTGTCGCCTGTTTGTAGTTTAGTTATTTCTGATAGTTATTTTGCCACTTTTGTATTACTTTTAATTTAATCTTTTTACATTGGTAGGTTGATGCTTACTTCTTCTAATTTTAGTGCAGATTTGGCTGCTTTGTCTGCGTGTTCGTTGCCAAACATTCCAACGTGGGCAGGGATCCGTACTATTTCTATGTCTTCACCTAGTTTAAGTAGATTGTTGGCGCTTTTAATTTTTGTTGTATTAGTTTTGGGCGGTTTTTGCGTTTTAGTTTTTTTTATAGCCTGGAGCCCACTTAATGAATCTGAAAGGATTAGGGTTTTTGGTGGCGGGGTCTGCAGATATACATGTAGTTGTGATTTGATGAATTCTTTATTCTCTAGACATTCGAGAGCGAACCAGACTGCAACATTATTCACAATGAATATCTACTCCAATAAAAAAAAGCACCCCACAGTTTATTATGTAACTTATAGCGAGACAACTCGGAGAGTTAATTACATTGTCTACTCACAATGCTAAGCAGGTGCACGAAATAACAGGAAGAGTCATGCGTTATATAACATCATAAACGTGGAGGATGAAATCCACCTTCCAGCAAATTGTAGGAGTAGGGCAGATTCAGCTGTGCAGACAATTGAATAGTAGCGTTAACCAGTGGCATTTAAGACGTTTTTACATTTAAGAACATATGTAATACTCATGGTCATTAGGACGGAAGCGCAACAGATATGAACGATATCGATAGGTTTGTGTGAGGAACAAGGATTACCATATATTTGTGACACAAGATCTACATGTATACTGTATTTTTCAGTGAGTATTTGTACGTGGGCCTATGGCCTTTATACTGAAAAATAAAGAATTGAATTGAAATAAAGAATTAAATTGAGTTGACACAAGATCATATTTCTTCGTCAGCAACATCTCACATATCCTGTGGTATCGTGTTTGCTTAGAATATAGAACAATGACTTCAAACACATTACACTATGCAGTCATTTTGTCGTCTTGTTCTAAACATTCCGTCACTGAAATAGGATTGCTACGCAGTATTTAATTAACTTGTTACGTTGATTCGAGACCAGAGAACATGTTATGTATCGATACCGGTTGTTCGTGAGAGAACATAAAGAATTAACGTCATTCGTTTCAAAAGTTTATTCCTGCTACACCATCACTTGGATACATGAAATTGTGTTTGTGTTTGCTTCATGCGTCTCATAGCACGTCATACATGTGTTTACCTTCTACCGATTTCTTCATGTTTCCAACTGTGTTGGACCGCAGGTGACAAAGTAAAGGGAAGTAATTCTCGAAAGTTACGGAAAAACATAAATTGCTATTCAGTAGCAGCTTAAATTAAAACGAAAAATGATTCTACTTATTGTCAACAAAACCCCACCCCACCTGACAGAGTTAAACGTCACAGTCTATGTACCTGATAAACAGGTAATTCAATGATAGATGATTGGAGATCACATCTACACTGTCTATTCAAGAACACACACTTTCACAGCAGGTCTTGTGTATTCACCCTTGGGAGTTTTCACTCTCAAAGTTCTCACTTCACTATCATCACCAGGCAGAATGTCAATTATTCTTCCCATTTCCCACTGACCTCTGGGTTTAGAGTCATCAACTATCAGAACAAGATCACCGACCGATATTCTGCAACCACCAACTCTCCAGCGATGCCTTACTGTCAAGTTAGGTAAGTACTCTCTCATCCATCGACGATTCAGATGATCTGCAAGGACTTGGGCTTGGCGCCATCTTTTTCTGCTGCACATCTCTTTGTCCTGGAACACATCAACTGGTTGGAATGGGTTAGATCTGCCGAGCAAAAAATGGTTCGGTGTCAAGGCGGTGAAGTCGTTTGGGTTTGCACTGTTGTATGTCAAAGGTCGACTGTTCAGCATTGCTTCGACTTCAATCAGAGATGTGCGAAGCACGGATTCATGAACAAGGGTTCCTTTCAAAACACAAGTTAAGGCTGTTTTTACAGATCTCACCAGTCGTTCCCATGCACCACCAAAGTGCGGACTAAGCGGTGGATTAAAGTGCCACTGAATACTTCGCACACACAGGAAGTCACTGATTTGGGCTTGTTTAAGATTGTGAAGGCACTGACGGAGTTCGTTGTCTGCTCCATGAAAGTTTGTACCGTTATCGCTATACAAATGTTGAGGGTTTCCACGACGCCCGATAAAGTTTCTGAGGGCGAGAAGAAAATCATCTGTTTCCAATGAATCAGCAACCTCAATGTGTACTGCCCTTACAGACAGACAAGTAAACAAACATCCCCACCTTTTCATTGTGCTTCGCTTGAACTTTACCAAAATCGGGCCAAAGTAGTCCACTCCAGTATGAGAGAATACTCCATCTGTAAGGCTTACACGACATGATGGAAGGTCTGCCATCTTGGGTGCAACTGGATTCACGGAACGCTTCCTACACTCTTGACAACTTCTGACAGCACGCTTTGCTAACTTTCTTGCATGAAGAGGCCAGAATCGCTGTCTTACTGTAGCTATAATGTGTTCAGTACCACAGTGAGCATTTTCCTTGTGAGTTTTATTCATCAGTAGCTGTGTGACTGGGTGATAATCTGGAAGGAGGAGTTGATACTTTGCTTCTCTTGGAATAGTAGCTTTTCGAAGTCGTCCTCCCACTCTGAGATGTCGTCCATCATAGAATGGTGATAGTGTTATCAGAGATGATTTTGGAGATATTTCGTTTCCGGATTGAGCACAATAAATCTCATCTTGAAATGCATCCTTTTGTGCTTCTTGAAACCAGGCGAGCAACGCTTCCTCACATTCACTCACTGTCAGACTTTCATATGTTACAGGTTTGAGGTCAAGATGCCTGAGTTTCAACAGAAAGTTTCTGGCTGCTCTGAGAACCCAAGCTGAAATGCGACACAGTCTTTGCCATGTAGAATAGTCAGCTGGATTCAACAAATTTGTGATTTGTGGTTCAGTCAAATGTCTTTGATTCAGATTGATTTCAGATGATGCATTTCTAGTGGTCTTGAACATACTCTTCTTCACTTCAAGATCATCCCTGAGCATCTCAACAGGGTTTGACAGTTTTGGCCATGTGTCCTCACTTTTCCATAAGAACTCTGGACCCCGTAGCCATGGATGTGTTTCTGTGTGCTGTTTTGCTTGAAGTCCGCGAGTACAGTGATCAGCCGGATTGATATCTGATGGGACATGACGCCATTGTTGAGGTTTTGTGGAATCGTGGATTTCTGCTATCCTGTTAGCGACGAAAGGCTTGAATCGCTTGTTGGAATTGTTCAAATATTGTAACACTGTATTTGAGTCAGTCCAAAACTGAATTCTCTGGACAGGGACCATCAATTCTTCTTTGAGAGAAAGCCAAAGTCTAACCGCTAATACAGCACCTTGCAGTTCCAGCCTTGGAATTGTCAATGCAGGCTTAAGGGGGGACACACGCGTCTTTGCAGCCAGGAATGAACAAGTCACTTCATCCTGGTCAAGGTAAGATTTGTAGCGCATGTATGCACATGCTCCAAAGCTTTTCTCGGAGGCATCCGCGAACAGATGAACTTCAATGAGACTGGATTGTGATGAAAAGCCCTGGTGATGCCTGCACAGGTTGAATGATGACAAGTCTTGAATTTCTTCCAGCCAGCCATTCCATCTTGATTGAATTTCTAGTGGCAAGTTATCATCCCAATCAAGACCTAGCTTCCATAAGTCTTGTATGAGACACTTTGCGCGAACTGTGTATGGAGCCAAATACCCACAAGGATCAAAGATGGAGCTCACCATGCTTATCACACCTCTCTTTGTTCTGGCACTGTTGTGAATTCTTGGATCAAACACAAAAGTGTCCGAGACAATATTCCATTTTAGTCCAAGGGCTCTGATAGTGGATATTTCATTAAGATCAAGATTCTTTGAGCTAACAGCTCTTTCACTTTCAGGGATTGATCTCATCACAACTTCTGAATTCGAAATCCACTTGTGGAGGTGAAATCCACCCATTTTCATGAGGTATGTAATGTCTTGGATCAGCTGCACTGCAGTAGTTTCAGTCTCAACTGATTTCAAAAGATCATCAACATAGAAATCATTGAGGGCTGTATCGATCACTGACTGCTCAAAAAGGTCAGCATTGTCCTTAGCTGTGCGCTTCACAGCGTAGTTTGCACAAGAGGATGAGTCAGCTGCTCCAAACACATGTACTTTCATCCTGTACACATCCGGAGGACCAGGAGTCTTGAGATCTGATTTCCATAGAAATCTGAGTGCTTCAGAGTCCTCCTTAGGGACCCCCACTTGATGGTACATACCTTCTATGTCAGCAGCTATCGCAACTTCAAAAAGTCTGAATCGCTGGAGGATGCCAAACAAACTGTTGACGAGATCAGGACCAGTCATTAATTTGTCATTCAGAGATGTGCCCAAGTATGAAGCCGCAGCGTCGAAAACAACTCTCACCTTCCCTGGCTTATTAGGATTCATCACACCGTGATGAGGTAAGTACCAGGTCCGACATGATGAATTGTCAATTTCTTGAGCCAAGAGTTTCTCTGCTTGATCCTTTGACACATAATCGTTGAGAGTTTTGCTATAAAGAACACCAAATTCAGAGTCTCTCACAATGCGCTTGGTTAAGATTTTGAGTCTTCTTTGAGCTGCTTTCAAGTTGTTTGGCAATGGTGATTTATCACGCCACAGCATCCCAATTTGATAGTGTCCTTCAATTAGTTGAGTCGTTCTTTCAAGGATGTATTGTGCCTTTTCATCTTCAGTTGAATAGGGCTTTGTCTTGTTGTGTGAAATCGAAAAAGATTCTGTTTTCCAGAAGTCTTCAAGCTGATCACTCAAATGTTGATCACGAGCAATTGTGAGGTTAATTCTAGCTTGAGTTTCATGATACAGTTCATCATCACTGTGGGCTATTCCCATGACTGTCCACCCCAGCAGGGTTTTGACTGCAACGGGTTGATTTTCAAGTCCTCGGATCATGTCAAGTTGAAGGTGTGCTTCAGGGACATCAACACCAATCAACATGTTGACCTGGGTGGGTTCAATATCAGGCAATTGCAAGTCTTTGAGGTGTTCCCATTCCTCACTGATGCGCTGAGGAAGGCAATCAAAGGCATTAGTATCAACTGCCCAAGCTTCTTTCAAATGGATTCTCTGTGCATCAAGATCACTAGCTGATTCAATGTCAAGTGATACCTTAAGGGAGTTTTCAGTTGAAACACTGTTGTATGTTTTAACCTTGAGCTTTCTTCTCTCTCCATGGAGACCTAAATCTTTTACCAGATCCCTATGAATAAGGGTGACATCACTTCCTGAGTCTAACAGGGCAAAAGTCTTGATTATTCTGCCATTTGGACCAAAAGCATGAACTGGAACAATCTGCAAATACACTTTTGCTCTGGATGACTGCAGTTTCTTATTATAAACCACCAGTGGCTCAGAAAATACATTGTGCAGTAGTGTGTGATGTTTCTTACCACAATGTTTCTCTTGGCAAGTCACAGTAGAGAAACATTTGTTTGCTCGATGTGATGGTTTAAGACAGTTGAAGCACAAACTGTGATCGACAATTATGTCCCTTCTCTCAGATGCAGTCTGGTTTGCGAAAATAGGACACCTGTACAGGTAATGAGACTCACCACACAATGCACATGGCGCTTTTGCCTGTTTTGGTGTTGTATCTACATTGTCAATGATTGTTGGTGGTTTTGTTGATTGCTTTCTGACAATCCACTTCTCTTGAGGCTTGGTGTGCCGTGTGTCGTTCTTGCGACGTTTGTTGGTGTCTTCACGTGATGGCTCACTCAAAATCGGGATGGCATATGGGTTGAAGTCTGCTTCAACACGATCTCTCAACCAGTTCTGCAGATCAGTGAGGTTCGGGTCTCTGAAAGAAACAATGTTTCTAACGAACTCATTCCACCGGGTTACTTTGTCGATGGGAAGGCGCCTTGAAACTTTCAACACAATGTCAGAGCTGTTAAGGTCAGACAGGTAATTCAGTTGCTGCAATGTCGCAATACAGTCACGAACAGCAACATAGAGTCTACGCAATGCAGATGGATCATGACTAGGTACTTGTGCTCCTGAGGCCACGCTATCAATGAAAGCTCTGCACACTTTTATTCGATGACCGAATGAAGCTTTCAGCTCCTTGAGTGCCAAAGCATAGTTTCTTCCACTGTAACCAAGTCCTTGAATAAGTCGTTTGGCTTCACCATCAACATGCGATTGAAGTATGTCCATGCGTCTGTTGTCTGTAATGGCAGGCCTGCAGTGTATCTGCACGTAAAATTGCTCAACAAATCGTGGCCAGGTAAGAGCTTCACCATTAAACACTGGCAAGTCGATCTTTGGTAGATCACGTTCACTTTCAAGTTTTATCAGTGTATGTGACAAATTCTTATGTGCATCCAGGAACACTGGTGTGGTTTCTTGTCCGATGATTAATTCGTCTATCCACAAATCAATAGACTGTTGTTTCATGTGCACTTGTTCAAGTCTTGACTGTGGTAGTTGTTGTGTCATGGGTTCTTGGTAGAATGGCTTTGCATGAGGGTTAAATTGACTTGTGTGTTTTAAATCAGTCTGATCCAGCCACTGCTGTATGTACGCTTTACTGTCGTGTTTAGTTGCAAGCAGATCAGCTTGATTTTCATTGTCGTTCAGCATAGTTTGGTACATACGATGTTCAAGATCGGCTACTTCTTTAAGATGTCTTGCCTCTTGTCGCGCCTTTTCCGCTTGTAAGTCAGCAATTTGGGAAACTAGTTTTGCATTTTCCACAGCATGAACAACTTTTAACTTTACTTGCTCACTTTTCATTGCTGCACTGTTTTCAGTAACTTGTGTGTTGAATGTGGAAGCAACTGATACACTTTTAACACTGGTTCGAGTTAAATACACTGCTATCTGGTGAATAACATCATTTGCCACATCAAATTGGTTATTAAACCACTCTTCTTCATACCGAGTTTGTTCAGTGTCAAGCGAGTCAATATAACGTTTGTGTGCAATAGTGAACGATTTTATTGCCGCTTCTAACTGTTCAAGTGTTTGCCCGAGTTTTCGTTTGGAACTACCGGCTGTCATTTCACTTGAAGCTCTATTACACATAGCAGTAACATGGGCTGCATGTCCACGACGGACATGCTTCAATTCATCCCTGTTTGTGTTCACAGAATCGTCGTCTGACATGGCGAACTTCAATCTTCCAAAACACGTGTTTCGTAAATAATGTTCAGTTTTCGATCACTGCATTACACCAAGTTGGAAACTTTATGTTCGTGAGAGAACATAAAGAATTAACGTCATTCGTTTCAAAAGTTTATTCCTGCTACACCATCACTTGGATACATGAAATTGTGTTTGTGTTTGCTTCATGCGTCTCATAGCACGTCATACATGTGTTTACCTTCTACCGATTTCTTCATGTTTCCAACTGTGTTGGACCGCAGGTGACAAACTAAAGGGAAGTAATTCTCGAAAGTTACGGAAAAACATAAATTGCTATTCAGTAGCAGCTTAAATTAAAACGAAAAATGATTCTACTTATTGTCAACACTGGTTGTTTATTAATGTTCACTAAAGGAGGGAGGGCTACAATTGACAAGGACCTCTAGGCTACAGGTCATGAAAATATGTTTCTCATGTCGTTGTGTTTAGTTATACGTGTGCACCTGCACTAATGAAGTAAGTGAATGTTAAGAAGACGAGATAGCGTGTATCTGTATCATCCATCACACAAAACAATGTACGTATGGTTTGACACTGTTTTAGAACGTTTTGTAAACGGATAGGACAAAACAAGCCAGTGCTGGCTTCTGCTGCTGCCTCTCCGAAGATCTGAATAAAAAGGTTATCATACTCATTGCCACATATTGCGTTCTAAAATGGAACATTTACAACGCGGGATTGTTTGCTCATTTATTATGTACCACACCATATATTTAAGGAGTGTAGGACATTTCCCCCACACCGACAGTCCCCTACTCGGACAATATCCCGTACTGACATTTCCTCACATTGAATAAATTAATAATTTATATTACAGTTTGACAAACTATTATAATATAAACATGAAAAGTCATCATCACATGCCAAGTTCACTACATGTCACCAGCTGGAAGTGACATGGGAAATAGATTTTACTCTTTGTTCAGCTGTCCTTCATTTAAAGACACATTTGACCAAAAAAAAGCACGAACTGGTTGAGTGACCTCCTTTCATCAGGTTGAAAGGATAAGAAATCGACATGCCATTACGTATTCACTACCAACGTCCTCTAATATTAAACTGATACCCTTGTTATCCCCTAATGAGATCTTGTATACTTTGTCACACCCGGTAATTGTTAAGATCATAAATCCTATCTACAGCCAGGCAATCTATACATGTTTCCAATACACTGTTATAATTAGTGGTGATTGCTAGAAAACACATCCTGGAAGATATCCTGAGACGCCTCCAAATGTCCACTTCATAATACTTACAAAAAGTGATATTCTACAGTAATAACATTTGAAGGCTAATCCTCAAATACCATCGTATTAATTGTTACGGAGTGGTGACCAACATTCGTAAATGCAAAAATTGCAAAAATCAAACTGCCGAGGATAGAATGCACTTTAAAGCGAGCTGCAATCTTCTTTCTGATATTAGATATTCGTTAAGGAGATATTCATAATAATAAAAATTATTATTGAAATAAATCAACTAAATTATCTTTTTCAAAGTCTTAAATATTCTAGAATATGTCCCTAACTTACGTTAAGCATCCAACAATTATAGTTATAATTCACCCAATATGCTGCTGATAAGACAATGATATTTGAATGCGCCCCGGATTTAATCGGAGCATATGCTAACGTTGTATAGAGGTCTGACGTAAATTGACTATCGCCTGTCTGTAAAGTGTGACCCTCGTGACGCCCTTATTTATTGTCACTGTCTTACTTAAACCATTCGAGTGACTCCGGTTTTCATTTCGTGTGACGGTGAGGCATTAAAACATTCATACACCCCTCACGTACTTTGACTCGTCTCGATAAACATATCAATACAAAGCTTATGTAATCACTATCAGAACTAACAGACGGGCGCGAAGCTTTAGTGACAATACCCTAATTACTTCATGATATGCACGACGATGACTGAGCGGCGACAGTCGGTTCAAATGTGTGCCTTTGTTGTCGAAGCGTACGCTTATAACACCTGGTCGTGCTTAAAGAACAGTTAACATTTTAGATATACTGGAGGGTTTACTACCGAACGTAACGTAACCACACAATCCTTCCGACTCCCAAACAACCAATCAATATTCACGGCAGAACTAATGGGCATGGCCTCAGCCCTCCATAATCAAGAATCCACGGTAATGAAAACGCCGATAAGCAGCTAAACTATCCCTCAAAATCCCAGAAATAAACTTAAACTTACCCATCTCAAAATAAGAAATTAAAAGTGTAAACAAGCAAAAAATCACACAAAAATGGCATAACCTATATCTAAACTCAAATAGCCAAATCAAAAAAGTGCTCAGCAAACCACTAACCAAACCAAAAATTCTCCATCCATCAAAAAAAATCGGCAGAGTAATCACTAAACTCCAAACAGGACACACCAACCTAAATAACCAAGTAAAAAAAAATATAAAAAACACACTACAGGTAACTGCCCACACTGCAAACAACCAGAAACCCCAGAACACGCACTCATCCACTGCACACACTACCTCACACATCGAACCGCATTACAAACCACCCTCAATCTAAACAAGGCTCTCACTCTAGAAGCAATACTAAACCCACAAAATAAACTAGAAAACTTCAAAGGCCTTAGGCGTATTCTTAATAAAAACGGAACTAATAAAACGCATCTAAAAACACAATAACCTACCAAATCAAAATCACATAAACAAACAAACATCCACCATACCCAGCTCCCTTCGTTCTCCTCCCTAAACCCATCGGCATCTATTCCAAATCTCAAAATTCCCAAATTCTATATAAGCAACCCCTAAACCCCCCTCTTGGGTTGCACAGACCACTTTCGCCCCTTTCGGAAACGCATTAAATGTCCTGGCCGGGCCCGTGTGCGAAATACGCATCAGTCTGGTCGGACCCCGCTTACTTTTATTAGAATGCCAGCCTTCGACCTGGTTGGTTGTTTGGGATCATGTGGAGCTGAAACCTCTACTCACCATCTTGAGCCTCGCTCACTTGCCTGTGAGACGCCCCCTATAATCCTCTACTGTTTTACCAATCAACACGCTTCATTGGCTATCGTTTTACAAAAACGCTTTTCGCAATAGAGTGATTTGGTTTTCTTTTGACACTGTTTCAGGTAAATATTCCCTGGATAGAGAAGATATTGGCGACATGGGTTCCAAGCATCGTTTGATATTTGTAAACAATTCAATTCATTAATTTGAGCTCGAACATATGTTTAAGAAAGTAAGAGAGGTTCTGATTACTCGCGAGTGTGTTATCGGATATGTCGTCAGATGGATTCAAACTTCAAATAGTATATTTCGAAATTCAAGCATCTATACTGACTGCACTAACACCCGCCAACAATGTTAGTGAAATATTTAATATGCAACAGTTTCATAATAAAAGCGACACAATCCTTTCCATATTCAAAAGAAAATCTCTGCTAAAAGCATTCCGACTGTCTCGTGAGCATGTGTTTATAAATCACTATCAAATAGTGATGGTATCGGGCGTTCGTGAAACGTTAATTCCATGTAAGTGGAAAATAATACAACACAATCGTCTTGCCTCCTACCATCCCAGATAATATTTCCACCGGGCCCCTTTCAAGGATGTTCTTTTAAACACATACATGCGTATCTAAAGAAAGAATTCTGTGTATTGCTTTAATAATAAATATTGCATATATTTAAGGCAAAGCATTAAACTGACACATTTGCTACGTACACGTGTCACAAAATGAACCCGTTAGACCACTTCAGGAAGCTCACCGGATGTCGTTATTTGGAAATACCCCTAGTGGTTATAGTTTATAATAAGAAAAGTATCCCTGCAGTGAAAGCATTTTCGGATTTCGGATTTCGGATTGCGTGGGTAAACTACTCCCTAGTTGTCATCCATGTTTTCTGGTATAACCCTAAACTTGTGTATTTGTCGTCATTCAATTGATGCTCAGTTAATTTATTACAGGTATAATTACTGGAGGCACCACTCAGATTACCTGATAAAGGTTCCCATTAGGCATTTCGTGTGTCTGGGGTATTTATTCAATTCAAATCCAGGTTGAAACCGAATCCCGGTTTGAAGTGAGGTGAAATGTATGTCATATAATATGCACGTTTCAGCCCAGCAAGAGGAGTGATCACCATCATTCCTCGCCATCAAAGGGTCAGCAGAAATTACGTTGATTGAATAATCACTGTTATTTTACACAGTGGATTTGTCAAAAGTAAGCGTTTACGTGTGTATGTTTACTAAAGCAGACAGAATAACCCAATATCTGGGCGTGAAGTGCCGATGTGAAAACAACATACTTTGTTCAAAGCCGATATAACGTTGATTGATTGCTCATTGTTATCTAACTCAATGGATTTTTTTAAAGAACCGTGGACATTATGAAAACAGTTGTCACGTGGGCTTTCTCAGCTGACCTTTGAGACTTGACACCTATGTGAAACA